GCCGCGGGGGGCGGCGGCGGCGGCTCCGGCGAGCATCGCCCCAGCCGCTCCGGCGGGGATAACTCGCTTGACCTCACCCTCATCCTCATCATCGCCCTGGGCTCCGTCTCCTTCATCTTTCTGCTGGCCATGATCGTCCTGGCGGTGCGCTGCCAGAAGGAGAAGAAGCTCAATATCTACACCTGCCTGGCCAGCGACTGCTGCCTGGGCTGCTGCTGCTGCTGCCCCTGCTGCAGCCGGCAGGCGCGGGCCCGCAAGAAGAAGCTCAGCAAGTCGGACATCATGCTGGTGCAGAGCTCCAACGTGCCGAGCAACCCGGCGCAGGTGCCGGTGGAGGAGTCCGGCAGCTTCGGCTCCCACCACCACAACCAGAACTACTGCTACCAAGTCTGCCTCACCCCCGAGTCCGCCAAGACCGACCTGATGTTCCTCAAGCCCTGCAGCCCCTCTCGCAGCACCGACGCCGAGCACAACCCCTGCGGGGCCATCGTCACCGGCTACGCCGACCAGCAGCCCGACATCATCTCCAATGGCAGCATTTTGTCCAGCGAGGTAAGGCCCGGCACCCCCCGGCATGCCACACTTCCCCAAGTCATCCCCAAACAGCCTTCCCGAAGCTCCCGCTCCTCCTCTCCCGTCCGAAAAGTCCAATTCCCAATCCTGCTTCTTTCCCCTTTAATCCGTCCGCTGGCTCCCCCCTCTTTGCTATCTCCTCTTTGGGAAGCTTTAGCAACAGGCGGGGGTCTCGGGGGAGATTGCGGGGTACACACACACACCCCCACACCCACACACACACGTGTACATCGCTGGCTCCCTCCCGCTCGGGTTTAGCAGCTGTTGCAGCCAAGCGCGCTCCCCCGGAGTCCCATCCCCCTCCCGGTGCCTCTGAAGGAATCTGGCCCCGCCTGGACAGCATCGGGGCGCAGAGATCCCCCCAGGCAGCGGTAGCTGTCAGTGGATCGTCTGTGGGCTGAGAGATGGGGTGGGGGTTACTGTTCTTTGCAGAATCTCTCCACCTGACAAGGCTGAAGTGACGTGGGGTGTAGTCACAGGATGTTCTGAAGCAACACTTCAAACCCGTGCCTTTTTCCTTCCTGAAATCTTTGCATGTGCAAGTAAGGCTTTGGGGGAAACCCCCTTTGGGACTGTGACAACTGCTGTAGTTAGCAGGAGGTTTAATTAATTTGTGAATTAGGGTTTAATGACTGACTTTTCTTCACTCTGTCTTCACAGCTCTTTATAACCACAAAGTTTGCAAAGAAAAGCAGCAAGAAAGAGTTTCTGTAAAATTATGTGCTGAGAATTAATGTCCCCTGCAATCTTGCCTATGTTGTGTTACCTGCTGAGTAGAGAATTTTTATCAAAGCATATACCATGCCACGTTACTCCCCCATTAATCATTTTGTGCTGGGTTAGCTCATATATATTGTCAGCACCTCTCTGCCTGTGCTCTAGTAAAAACCTCACTACTGTTGTACAGTCTGACAAAAGTAGTTTGAATGGTGTGTTCTAAGGCATTAAGTTTTGCAGTGAAATTTCTAATACTGATTTATAATACTGACCTTGCCTCAAAATGTCTCTAAAACTCTTGGCTTCTGCTGCCTTTTTGATATCTTGAGGGTATCTCGGTGTATTTTTTTTTTCCCCCTCATGGTACAATACCAGTACCAGCAAAGTAGTCCACAATTCTAGAAATAGTTATGCTAATTTTTTTTGTGGGAGTCCTTGTGATGCTCAACAGTGTGCGCTGAGAGAAAACGTCAGAGTCTTGTCTCAAAAAACTCCAGAAAAAATCCCTCGTGCCTTCCCATCTGTGTGACTAAGAGCTGTTTTTTCTCCCTTAAATTCTGGAAACAGATTTTGCAGGCCTACTTGCAGCTAAGCATTACCATTTATAGTGAATATGGTGAGCTGCTCCCTTGTATATTTCCTGCTGCTGGTTACAGAAATATCAGAAGTTAAAATATCTCCCAATATTTTCTTTTCTCCTAGACAAAACATCAGCGTGCTGAGCTCAGTTATCTAGTTGACAGACCCCGACGAGTAAACAGGTAGGAGCTCTGTAGCCTTGGTTTCCTCATGCATGCTTTAGCAAGTCTGAATGGGTGCAGAAATGTGTTTACTGCAGATGTAACAGAGTAGTAAAGCAGTGGGAAGTCGAATAGTATGTAGATGCACTAAATAAATTTGGCTTGAATTTGGCTTTGAATTATGGCTTTTCTAAACTAGTTTCAAAACTGACTGAAAAGAGAACAGAATCTCGGTTTGTATTAGTCTGAAACGTGCTTCAAATACTTAAGAATATGCTTCTGTAGGGTCTCCCAGAAAACATTTTCTCACTGAGTTAAAGTTCAGCTAACCAGCTTAAGTAAATGCTACCAAATTACTTTTACCGCTACATGAAACCCAGGAGGAGTAATAACCCTTGCTGTCCCTTCCAGCCAGGCTCCCGAGGTCTGGAAATTCCTCATTTTGGTTTTGGTGGGCAGGGCACACTCCGTGCAGCAGGCAGGAGTGGGGGGAAATGCAGCACCGTGTTTGGCCATGTGATGGCGGAAGAATGTTTTATGAGTTCCTCTTTCATGTTTATTCTAATGTAAAGATGTTTCTGTGTCTAGTTCTGCATTCCAGGAAGCAGACATAGTAAGCTCTAAGGACAGTGGTCATGGAGACAGTGAGCAAGGAGACAGTGATCATGATGCCACTAATCGAGGTCAATCCTCTGGTAAGTCTGATAAGAGAATGGAAATATTGGATCTTTAAGTAAGGAGACTAGAAAGAACAGTTACTTATAGGAAGATAATACAAGAGAGGCATAAATAAGGTGAGCATATTTACTGTATGGGAGGCTGGGCTTATGTCAGCTTGCTGCTACAGTTGCCTGAACAAGGAGGCAATTTCAAACCTCTTTGGTCACGGGGCAGAGTTTATTTTATTCATTTGGTTGGGGGTGGGAATTGCTGAATGATGCCGCATCATTCACTGCAGCAAAACTTCCTGCACATTAAAACAAAGTTGTTGCTACGTTTTATAGTACATTTTCTCCTATGGCAGATTTAGAGAATTTCAAAGCCTTAAGCAATTCTGTTTAGTAGGCACTTCAGCTGGCACAGCAATGAGAAGTGAAGGAGGAGTTCCCAAGGGAGAGAATGAACCCAATGGTTGAATGACAGCCAGACTGTGAGGGTTTTTTTGCCGAAGATCAGTGGAGACACACTGGGTGCTCTGAATGTGTAATACCTTAGAATTTTTGGAGGATTGTCTGTTAATTCGAATTGAGGCCCCATACAGTACAAGTGGTCTTCATGTTAATAAGTTATTATTACATACTTTTTTTTGACAGAGGAAAGAAAGGCTTTAAAAGACTATGAATCATTTAGGAAATACACACATTGCAGTGTCCTGCCCATATGTAGGGCTTGCTGTCTTAGTTCTCATACTGTCACTTTGCTTCTGAAAGGAACATTTGTTCAGAGCCTGTGCATTAGAATTCACGCTCACCCTCGCACTGCATTTCAGCTACAAATGCTGTGCTTTCTTCCCTACCACAGCCTCCACAGGTCTGGTACATCTTTGTGGAATACAGTGCTGTCTTTCCTCTTGTTTCCTTTGTGCTCTGTCACGTATAAAGATTCGCTACAACCGTGTCAGTTCTCCTTTTTTGTTTTCTTTTCCCCCGACCCCTACCTTAGAAGACAGCAGGGCAGGGGACCCAGTGCTGTCGCAGCGGTGCTGCCTCACCCGCCTGCTCTGTTAATGTCTCCTATTTTCTTGCTGCTCTAGTCACTGTGCCCTTAACGATGGGAAACCCAGGCACCAAGGGGAAGAGGAGGCTGCCACAGGGCCTCTTTCTATTGCTGCAAGTCATTAATATGCAGACCTAATGAGACTTGAGAAGAGCCAAGAGTCTCTGGAGCTCCCTGCTTCTTGCAGGGCTTCATGCTAAGTGAACAGAGTGTCTATTTTGTGTCTGGGAACCTGACAACAAACCAGGTCTTGCCAGAAGTTTACATCTGAACACAGAGCCTCTTTCATTTTTGTCCTATATATGGCGTATGATTTATTATTGTTCGAAAAAGCCATGTATTTAGCCTCCCCCCACCCTTTCTTTTGCACTGTTTCTGATGCAGCAATCAGGGCTACTGAGTTATAAAAAGCTCTCTCTCCTCCTGCCCTCCCTGCATTCCTCCTTTTTTTCCCCTCTTTTACGCATTTTACTGCAGCAGTCATCTCCATGAACATTTCAATCAGCTTAGTCCCTCAACATAATGAACCATAATAACCAAACAGGAGAGAAAAGAATAAACATCTGCAGAAGGGGCTGGATTTGACTGATGGTGGGAATATAATCATATAGTTGCACATCAACTGAAAGCTATTTTCTTTTAGATGCATTCTGTGCTGTTATTGTTGTTCCTCTGTTCTTTATTTTTTTTCCCTCCATTTTAAAAGTAGACTATGAATACTTGTCATATTTGGCATTGATCCTTAGTGGGATAAATTCTTCTTTATTTCTATTTTATCAAATAGTGGAGAAAAACTATTCTGTACTTTTAAATAATTTCAAATCATTTAAGAATCTGACGTGATTTGTGAACTTCTATGTCTTCAGTGGTGATCACATAGTAAGTAATGAAAGCTGACAATTAGGCTTGGCCTACTCACAATTAATAGATTGAAATGAAAACTCAGAGTACTCACAATTTCACAAATCACATCAGATTCCTAAATGATTTGAAACTATTTAAGAATATGATATGATTTGTGAACTTCTGTATCTTCAGTGGTGATACATAGTAAGTAATGAAAGCTGACAATTAGTCTTGCTCTACTCACAATTAATAGTTTGAACTGAAAATGCAGAATACACCAATTTCATATATTGGTGCTGAGATTTGAGAATAATTTGTATGCACCATTTTTTTAATGCTAGTCCCAAATTAATATTTCAATACAAATCTTTGTAGAAGCTTCTTTAATCTTCTACACACATATTATCTACTTTCCTTTAGGTTTTGTGCTGAATCATGCTGTCTTGATGCAAAGAATGTGCCCTTTTACCTCAGTGATGATAAGATATTTTGACATAAAAACTTCACTCCTGCTATTAGCTTTTGGTGATTAATTTTATGGGGGGAAAAAAAAGGAGCATAAATCTTGTTTGATCTCGAATGGCTAGAGGAAATACAGAGGGAAAGTCTTTTGATCATTCTAATGCTCTAAAATCAATTATTTCTAAATTACTGAAGGAAAACAGCCTGATTGATAACATGGAAGCAGTTTGGGCTGGATTTTTTTCCAACATGTTACCTGATACTATGCAGCATCATATTTGTTTTCAAAAGCATCTAAAAATGTTTAGTAGGTAATTGACACTGGCAGAAAACTCATTCACCACCAGTTTTATGCTCGCCAGCATGTTCTGCTGGCAAAACATCTTTTTACTGTCCAGCATGAGACTTCTGTCCCTAGTGAGCAATCCTGTGGCACACAAGTGGTTATTCTGTAGTAGTCCATTGCTATCCAAACTGGCTGTCATGGTCAGTTATTAACTGGGAAGGAAAACTTGTAAGATGAAAATCTATCACACTGCCACAGCTTTGTCTTGAACAATTATTTAGTGAAAATTCTGAACTCTGCTGTTCTGCATCTCATAAAATGTTCTCTTGGGTTTTGAAATTAGATCATAGTTCACCTTTTTTCAAAATATATTTTCTTAAAAGTGATTTAATCATGTTTTAAATGTGCTGAAATGCATGTAAGGGATTCATATTTTTCCCATTAAAGTACCACATGAATGTCTCATAATTACCTGCGTTCTTACCTACCTTAACACTGACGAAGGACTAAAGTACTGTCATCTGCTTTTGGCAGGCAATGGCAAGGAGTGAGATGCTCAAGATCCTAATTTTTTGTGGATTGAATAGTTATTTCATTGACTAGGTTAGTAATGTGAGCTTTTTGGGAAAATGACTGTACAAAGGGGAAGAAGTGCAGGAGGTTTTTGGCAAAGAGAGAAGGGTTTTTTCTAGTGCTCTGTGCTCTTCTTTAAAAGTTGTTGAGAGAAAAGCTGCTACTTGTTATAGAACAAACACAACTCACACAGCACTTCTAGCTCATGCTACCACACTGTATTTCAGCTGTGTTCTGTAGGAGTAATTCACAAACATGAGGTTAGTTTATTTCCCATGGTTGATTAAATTCTTGGCCTCCCTTGTGAAACAGCCAGCTTGGGTGCCAATTAATACTCTGCATGTGTTTACATTTAAATTGTATGATTAGACACCTGTCCTGTAAGATTTGGACTCGTGCCATCAACTTATTTCATATGGTTGCTCACTAGCTACTTGGCTTTCCCAAGCAGAGTCCTTCTCAGTATTACCCTTTTTTTCATGGAATTGGCACGATGTCTCAGAGGCACTTCAGGGAGGAATGCCCAAGATGAGAAGCCAAGTAGATGCACTGCTGTGCATATCCCATAAAATGCATCAGCTTTTTTGATCTGTTTTCGGACAGTTTACACTGGTGACTGGCTGAAACCTGAAATTAGGCTTCTCCTGGAAGATTTTATGAAGGGAACTGATAAGGGTCTAATGCAAAGGCACAGGGTGAAACACTGGCTCACACCTTTTCAGTACAGATTAGGTGAACACCAAGAGGGTTCATTATGGCAGGAGAGCTGCAATATTTCAGTGTCCATAAGGAGAAGAATAAGAGAAGTCAGAAGAAGAATTTTAGTGATAAAGGGACAGAGAAAACCAGTATTTCCTCTGAGCCTGTGCTGACTGACAGCTAAATCCTGTTTTGAAGATCACTTGGGCAAAAAGTCTATCTCAGATAAAGTGAGAATGAACATGAAAATAGCTTAGAAATGTGCTTTGACTGAAGCTAAGTGCTATTCCTGTATTTTTTGCGGTTTTGTTTCTTTTTTTTCCCTCATCTTCCTTGGCCTGCATGCCTAATAATGCTCACATCTCAGTGGTCCAGATAGGCCTTTGAAGCTGAGATTTGGAAGAGGTGAATATTGAAGATATTTGAGTCTTTATCGTGTTCTGATGCAGATGAAGTCAGTTTTGTCCAAGGCAGCACACCAACTACTTAGCAAGAAAGAATGATAATAACTTTCATAAAGTCCAGTTCTTCGGTAGATAACTGCAAAGTAGGTTAACATCATTATCCTTACTTACCAATCCAAAACATGAATCATGGGAAATGAGTAACTTGCTCATTGATAATCTAACCAAATGGATAGTTGTTGTGGGAAGGGAGCTCTGAAAAGGAGGTCTGGTTCCCTATATCACACCTACTTCACATCTAACTAGCACAGGACAAACAGAAATGTCATTTATTTCCAAGTAAAAGGCAAGGTTCTGAAAAAGAAAAAATTGCGCCTGTTGGGGAAAATCCCCTCCCAATAATGATATTGCAGAAGTTACTCTGACAGCATTTAATTTGTATTTTTATTTTTTGTTACATCTTTTACTCAGTAATATATATTAAAGTGTTCACTTGTTGTTCTTGGTGTATAGTCCTTCTCCCTTAATTTGAGATATGACACATTATTTAAAAATGAGTCTAGGCCTATTTTTTTTCCTTGACAAAACAGTCTTTCAAACCAATTAAAACTCACAGAGAAATTTTGATTTTTTTCCTTTTGAAATATGAAAAGGAAGCAAAATGGGAACATGATTCCAAAATGCAGTGCTGCCACGTATCTGATTCAAAGCACCTGAGTTCAGGTAATTCAGATATCAAACTTAATTAACACCTTTCCTAGTTTTTGGCAGCTTTTGAGGGAGGGGTAGGGGTTTGTTTTCCTTCAAAATCTGCAAAGTCAAGGATCACATATTGCCCACTGGCCCCCTGGTATCAAGACTTGAACAAATGGGAGGGAGATTGTGGCCTTTTCCATGAGTTGTTACATGTATGTTGCATTTGGAACAGTGCAATGCTTATCGCTGTCAGAACTTCAATGCACTCTCCTCTCTGTCTGCATCCACAGAGGGCATTTGAAATTTGTAATTCACAGCCACCTTTAAAATCTGAGTTTATCTGTATGCAGGGTCTGACAGCATAACTAAGGGAAAGATAGAAAGCATTTTTCTTTAATGTGGACTTGTAATAATGATGGATAGTTTAGTTCAGAAGGATTTTATATATATGTGTGTATATAACCAGATTTATGAGGGAGATGAGATGGAAGTGTTAAACTGCTGAATATTTTGTTATAAATCAAGAACACTATTCTTGAGATATGAAGGAGTTCTGTTCTGAGTGTCTCAATTCTATGTCCTTCCTTCTTGGAAAACAGCAAATAGCCTGTACCCTTCCCCAACCCTGTGTTAGATGTTTTTCAATTAGAACCAGAAAATTCTATACTATGACCCACAGGAAAAAGGTGGACGAAGCCAGCATTCATACCACAGGCAGTATAAATTGCATGGCTGCCCAGGGATTTTGAAAATAAGCTGCTAATTTGAATTTCTTTTTTGTCAAAATACTAAACCCAAGGGCTTGGTTCTGCACCTGTTAAACTCTTAGGGACTGTTGTGACTGATTCAAGCCGGAACAATTCCTAACTCTTGCCTCTCTGAACATTTTGTTCTAAACAAGCTAAACATTTAGCTATATGTTCCAGCAATGTATATTTAAATTCCGATGTATATATTTTTTTTTTTTCTTTTTGCAAGTTCTCCTCTCAAAGATGGAAAAAGTTTGCAGTACAGGCTCACATTTTATAGCCCCTACATTCATTACTTTGTTTATTCAAAATCCTGATTTATAGTGGCTATAACATCTCTTTTATAATAAGCTGTTACATAATACTATTCAGTGCACTGCAGTAGACAAGCAGTATTCAAAAGGGAACAAAAAAAAAATATTTGGATAGAGACATTTTGCAGTTTAGCAGCTGATGTGAGAACAAAATAGTAAAATGGTGGGTAATTTTCCAGGTGAAATAAAAATCCATGAAGGGAAGAAAAGGGTATATATTAGAATGCATATTCTTAAAACAATATATTTCTAATCTTTCCCTCCCCATAGACTAAATAATATAATTTAATATGTCCCCTAAAGTTTTTCATTCTCCTGCTGTCTCTCAGGAGAGGTTGAATGAATGCAGTCACTGATATATTATCAGAAAAATGGAACTGTAATCATTGTCTCATTAAATGTAGGGCTATTTGTTTTTTTACGTGTGTCTTTGCCAAGAAGTCTGCAAATTGAAATAACCATTTCGTGCTTATTGTCCCTTAAATCTTTGGAAAGGCAAAAACTATTTTTCTTCAGACATTTCAATACATAAAATACGCACACACACACGATTTTATAGACATTGCTAGATACTGAGTTCTTTCTGGGAAGCCTGCATCTAAATATTTCTTTTCAGTCTTTGATAGATACTACCCCTACAGAGTTTATGTTTGCACTATTTTTCTCCTTGCCTTATGATCTTCCTCTCATTCCTTAAGCATATCTGCAGTCACATTTGCATTCTTCAACAGTTCACTGATCAGAAATTTATTTTCAGGCTTCTGCATGCCAATTATCAAGGCAAGCTTCTAATCGAAACTGGACCTGGCATTGTATATTGCTTAATTTAAAATTAAAAAGTCATTATAAAGTGAGATTAATCTGAGATAAAAGCTTTTATTTCTCATTTCCTCATGATTTTTTTTTCTGTCTAAATGATTGCCTTTCTTACTCAAGAACTTGTTGATAGCTCGCAATCATTATTCCTTTCTGAAGAGATTGTTTTTTTGTAGTGTGAGATACTACATAAATATTATTAGTATTATTCAAATTATAGTTCAAAACCGTGGTAGAATTTTTAATACTGATGCTCACACTGAAGATCAAGCTAATCCAGTTCTTTACAATGTTGGCTGGTAAATGAGCTACATTACATGAATATTATTACAGAATCCAGAATCAACGAGGTTGGAAAATCATTTTTTTGAAATCGTTGAGTCCAACCTGTGCCCTAACACCCCCTTGTCAACCAGACCGCGGCACTGAGTGCCACATCCATCCTTAAACACCTCCAAGTGACAGTGACTCCACCATCTCCCTGAGCAGCCTGTTCCAATGCCTTTCCTCCCTTTCTGTGGGAAAATTCCTCCGAATGTCCAACCCACACCTTCCCTGGCCCAGCTTAAGAGGACTGCATCCTCTTGTCCTAATTATGGCTGTTCAAATTTTTTCCTATTTCTGTTACTAGTGTCATTTTTTTGTAATTCTAATGAAATGCTTGTAAAAGCAATGATTATAACAGATTTAGTTCAATTTTGACACACACCTAATACGCTCAGTTCTCTTTATAAATACAAGAAAAGGATGTCTTTTTACCGTTCCTCTTTTCTGTGATGTTGAAGATTGTATTGATTAAACCCAAACAGCAGCTAAGCACCACACAGTTTCTTGCTCATTCTTCTAGGCCCAGTGTGATGGGAAGGAAAATCAGAAAAAAAGTAAAACGTGTGTTCTGAGATAAGAATATTTTAATAATTGAAATAAATATAATAATAATAATAACAAAATGGAGAAAGGGGGAGGAATGAAATTGAAGACAGAGAAGTGATGCATACTGCATTTTCTCACCAGCCACTGATTGATGCTCAGCCCAGCCCTGAGCAGTGATTGGCCTTTCCCTGCTACCTCCCAGTTTATGTAGTAGGCATGATGCTCTCTGGTATGGAATAACCTTTGGCTAGCTCACATCAGCTGTCCTGGCCATGTTCCCTCCTGGCTTCTTGTGCATTTCCTCACTGGCAGAGCATGGGACACTGAAATGTCCCTGATTTACTGTAACCACTACTGAATAACTACCAAAATATTAATGTGTTACCACCATTGTTCTCATATTAAATCCAAAACACAGCACTGTACCAGCTATTAGGAAGAAAATGAACTCTATCCCACCCAAAAGCAGGACAAACCAACTTGGAGATGTTGGTATTTATTTTACTGTTTATTATATATAATAATAAATATATTATATATATATTATAAATTTATTTATTTCTGTCCCTATGATTTCACACACCATTCCTCTTAAAACAAGTATAATCCAACAACTTAGTGACTCATAGCCAGGAAATATTCCTTTGGAAGGCTGATCTGAAAGTAGTCAAAAGCAGCATAGCTTGTCACTTGAGATCTTAATAACATTAAAGGATTTGTAAGCAAACAGTTTTGTGTTGGCATGGATGATTGTTTGCTTATATAGGGGAAGCATTAACAAGTTTTTTGATTGTATCCACAGCCACATCACACTGGACTGTGGGTGCCTCTGTACTGCTAATTGCAGTATTTTATTGTAGGGTTCTGTCTCATTTCGTGTATGACTTGATGATAGCAAGGACTGCTGCAGCAGCAATGAAAACTGTCTCTGAAAGAGTGATGTAACAACTGATGGAATAAGCTCTCCTGAACGCTTGAAAGCTCAGTTCCTACTTTGAAATAGCTGCTTTTAATGTCAATAGGCTCCATCTCTGTACCAATGTATGCACAGATAGTTCCTTTATGGGACTCACTAATGTTTCATTTCGTAAATGAAATCTGTGATTTCTAAATCCAGACTTTTAATTTCTTTGGTCAGAGACACATTTACGTAGAAACAATTTCTTCATGTTCTTAAGCAGGTACTTTCAACCAGTGAACCACAGACATCGACCTACTTAAGCAGGTACTTTCAACCAGTGAACCACAGGCATCGACCTACAAGCAGAATCGAACCTTATATGAGTGGGTTCTAAATAGTGAGGTCTGCAAGTGATTTTGTGAGACAGAACCACAGATACCTGTGGTACTCTTTTGTGAGAAGAACCTCTTCTTGTGGTATTTGTGTGTGTGTGAGGCATTCTGGCATTTAGTTATGCTTGTTACAGGGCGTCTCTTCTTGTGGTATTTGTGTGTGTGTGAGGCATTCTGGCATTTAGTTATGCTTGTTACAGGGCGTCTGACTTCTGCAGACTGGACAACTAGAGTTTTCTACGTGTTGTTGTTGAGGAGATGAAGCTCATGGAAGAAGTTCTTACATCATTTCTCTTTCTACTTCTCTTTCCTTGGCATAATCTTTTTTATCTGTCAGCAGCTGCTCATGATGCCGAAGCTTATATCTGTAGTTTCTTTTCCTTTCATGCTTGCAGGCATGGATCTCTTCTCCAACTGCACAGAGGAATGTAAAGCACTGGGCCACTCAGATCGGTGCTGGATGCCTTCCTTTGTTCCATCGGATGGACGCCAAGCTGCAGATTACCGCAGCAATCTGCACGTACCTGGCATGGACTCCGTTCCAGACACTGAAGTGTTTGAAACACCAGAAGCCCAGCCCGGGGCAGAAAGGTCCTTCTCCACCTTCGGCAAAGAGAAGGCCCTTCACAACAGTCTGGAAAGGAAGGAGTTCGATGGACTGCTGTCTAATACACGAGCGCCTTACAAACCACCATATTTGAGTAAGTACTATTCAAAAAGCTGTATGAAAGCGTTCCCTTTGCAGGAATAAAATTTGGCTCTTTCTGCTTTTCATGCTAGGACTAATACAGGCACCATTTTAGGAACAGAGGGCAGGGGGGAAATGGCTTCTCTTGGATTCAGGCACCAATGAAGAAGGCATTCTTCAGTGGGAGACAAAATTTTGATTGTTTTCAGTGTGACATCATTGTCAACAACAAAAGTGTCAGCAAATATCATTGGGGGAGTTGCTCAGTTTTGTTTTCTGATGCTGGATTATTTTCAAAATTTTCTTGGGTAGATGGTTTAAAGTTTGACGTTGCCAGGCTAATGTTTTCTAGGAGTAGAGTTAAATTGAGAGAACAGTCCTAGGAGCTTCTTTTTATAACTGAAAACTACCTTGTGAATGAAGAGTATGCACGTTATTTTGAAATAGCAGTTTACATAGTTTGGAAGGAAGAAGAGCCTTCGATCTGATCATCTTTCAGCCTCCATAGTATTGGCTGTTGTCAGTGCTCCTCTGTGCCTTTTGTCTCATTTCAAAATCTTGCCTCTTTCTTTAGTCACCTTTTGACTATGGTTATGTGGCAAGAAAGAGTGTGATAGATCTCAAAGAGATCTTCATAATTCCTTTTGGAGTCTGAGCCAGCTATAGAAGCCTTGAATATCACTTTGATCTAATATGTCTTTTCATTCTATTTGCTGTGTTCTGTATTTTATTAGATACTGTAATTTCCTTGACTTCAATAATTTATGATATTTATCTCATCCAAATAAACCAGACATTAACACTGCAATACTGACCCCTTTTTAAAGCAAGAGAGGTCTTTTAGGACAGCAGATTGAGGGTAAAAGAGAAAAGAATCTCTCTGAATGGTGTTCATTTATTTATTTTCCTAAAGCATTTAGTTGTTCTGAGGGGTGGTGTGCTGGCAGTCCTGATAAGTGAAGATCTTTGTTACAGATCATTCTCAGCACCAACAGCTCAGTTCTCCCTTCTTCATTGGCTGTCCTGGTATTTTCATTCATTTAGGAGAGGTCTTTTTACCACTTTACTCTTTAGATTCACTTCACTGACAACTTTAAATTTGACTACCAGTTCTGATATGTGAAAGCCTTTCCTAAAAACCTGTCCTAAGACAATCAGCTTGTTTTATGTGGGCTAAAATGTCATGTGCCAATCATCCACTCATATTCTAAAGACCAGTGTGAAATTTCAGTATGGCCTAACAACTTTCAGTCCTTCCTGAAGTGATCTTCCATTTTTTATTTCTATGTACATTGTTCAGCAGTAAGGCACAATCTAGCAGTATTGATTTCACCACTGTCACCTCAGTTAAAAATTTAACTTTAATTTAACAAGTTTGGTAGCATCTTTAGATGGTCTAACCACAACCAGGTTGTGGTGCAGTATGGATGTTGTTGCAATGATGATTTTTATAACACCACAATGGTAGTTCTGTTTTGATTTGTTCTAGGCCTGGGAGTTTAATTTCAAATAGCAATGACACACTTATTTTACTGATAGTTTAGGAATTTTAAATTTTGTTACACTAACATAAGTAGTTTTCTTGAACAATGTCTTTACATGGAGACATTGATCTACATTTTGCACTTTTCTGGTATAAGAGCATAAACAATTGGAAGTAAAATATCAGAAGAAACCAGTATAAAAAAGTGTTATTACATAATCCACACTTGAGAATCCAGATTGTTTTTGCTGTTTTTCCTTGAACCTCAAAGCTAAAATTTCTACAAAACTAGAGTAAAACCAGCTCCTCTGGTTCATTTTCATTTATTTGTAGGGGGTTTTGTTTTGTTTGTTTGTTTTTTGTTTTGGGTTGGTTTTTTTTGTGGTATTTTAGTTATAATTGTATAGCAAAGAATAGGAACAAAAGGAAAGTGAGCACTAGTTGTGGAAAAGAATATTTATTATTAATAATGTATTAAACAAATAAGTCAAGAAACATATACAAGAGGAAGTTGATTTAGGAAGGAACCTTAGTTGATTCACCGGGTAATTGCAATTAAAAGTAAAATTAAATTCAACTTCCTAACACAGAAGACCATGTCAAAATCAGGTTTTCAGCAGAATGACATTTTTTAAATTAATAATTAAAATGTATGAAACAGAACCCTCATATAAAGCAAAAACACTGTATAAAAATTTGAAGCAGGTATGAAAATGGCCACGTGAAAATGAGGAGCAAAGAATAAAAAATGTATTCTAAATGCAAAATCTATTTGAATTTCATAGGTGTCTTAAAGAAAAAAAAAAAAAATGAAATATTCTAAACCAAACAATCGGAAAAGAGCAGAAATTCTAGCTAGTGACTTTTAGGGTAGTTATTACTGAACATAAAAGGGACACCTTAAAGCAAATAGCCAAAGGCATGCAAACAATGTAGACAACTTCAAGATATCAGGTGTAGTAAGCTAGGAGAGAATTGGTGAGTCTCTTGAGCTGCAGTTAGTGAGGACAAGGATGTGGCAGAGATTCTAAACTCTTTCTTTGCATTTGTGTTTACCCAAGGAGGAACAGAGAAAGGCAGGTGTATCTAGGAAGGCACCCATCCCAGGTAACCATTTTAAATAAATGTGTGAAAAATGGAAGAGGCTGTTGTTGAAAAAATTGGCTAAAATAGAAAGGAGTCAGTGGATTATGTGTTTCTTTAATTTTCTGCTTCTAACAGGCACTGGTAATGAAGGAATGTCAGAAGTTGTGTTTATCACTTTAAAATGTACTAGAAAACATTGTAAATTAGAGACCAGTGAGAAGCCTCAGCATAGAACATGCATTTGTAATTTAGGGGTTTTAGGAACAAGGTAGCTGGCATCTGACCAGGAAAGGAATGCAGAAAGATTGTCAATCTATTAGAATTTTGATAGAGTGAGTGAGAATTGATCAATAGAGTGTATTTGAACTGTCAAAAAAACCCCTTTAGCACTGCTTCTGTGTAGTAGAAGCAGCTCCTAAAGTAATCAAGCGTTGTCATAGGCAAAGCATTACCAGACTCTGTGCCTAAGAGGAAAATATCATAAGGATAAATGGAACATTTCAGCATCAGCAGAGTCCTGTTCCCAAACCCCAGGCGTTTGTGTGGAAATCCACGGAGTTTTAAAAAAAAATTAGTTATCTAGAAAGAGCGATCAGAAAAAAGGTGGCAGTGTTTGCAGATGTCATGAAGGGGTTTGTGTCCCCTGGGTCCAAAGCAGCACATGAAAAAGCAGCACATACCCCTGATGTGCAGTGAAGCATGGGCAAACCTCGCCTGCTCGCGAGGCAGCCGGCTCTGGGATGGAAAGCTGCAGAGCCGTGGCAGCACCCTGGAGAGCTGAGGAGCTGGCTCCCTGGAGCTGTGCCCCATGTCAGGGGCTCCAGAGGGGAACTGGTAGCTCTAGGTGGAGCTTGCACGGTGCCACAGGAGCTCTGGGATTCCTGCACTGCCTTCCAGTGCGTGCGTTCGGTGCAGAACCTTAGGAAAGATAAATGAAGAGGGTGATGCATATTAGCATGAGGAATTTGAATTCATCCTGAGAAAAAAAAGACCGTGGAATAATTCCCTGGGAAGTTTCCCACAATGCACAAAGCCAGCAAGAAAGAAATAAAATACCAGGTTGTAAAAAGGAGTTGAATTGAAAATACACTAAAAAAAAGTGCTACAGAACCCCTACACAGATCATGTCACTATGTTCCTCTAGACAGTCTAGTCATTCCATAGAAACACATGGCATGCAATACTGAAAATAACTGTGCAAACTCATATCAAAAGTACCAATTAATGTAGACAAGCTGTGATAGGAGCAGGAAGTTAAGGAGGCTGCATGAGACCTGAGAAAGTGAAACTTTTGTTTGCTGGGCTCAATAGCAAGAGAGCAGCAGGGCAGCAAAACAACTGCAGGGCATCAGGGTCACGAAGGGATTAGATCACACACATTTGATACAATGATACCAATTTGACATAAATTGCAGGAACCTGTTGAACTTGTGCAGCATGACTGAAACTGAAGGCTTAATATAGTGGGCATTTGGGCATTTGATTCTGTGGGGTTGGAGGTTTAGACCGTGGCTTGGTTAAGTGAAAACAGGAGCTATATTACAAATTGTTATGTAGAAAAGGATACATATCTCATACCTGACAGAGTTTCTTTTTGTTCCATCATCAAATTTTCACGTTGCTGGTCTAAGCCATTGGACTTCTCATACACAAATTTGCACATAAACATACATATTCTATGTATTATTCTGAACAAAATATAATGTAAGTAGATTTCTACATACCTAAATTATGTATCTTGAAGAATATATTTATTTATGTAAGTTTTATGTAATTACTATGAGTACAAATTATGAAGATGTGATGGGATCAGTAAATTGTAGGATTTTTGAAAGTAGTTTTCTCATAGAGTGACTCCAGGATTCTCCTTACATATTCTTCATACTGTGTAACCAGCACTTAGTACTTGTTATTCATCCACGTGGTTTGAACACTGCATTTCTGCAGACAGTTAAGAAACTTTTATACTGATTTGAATCTTCATAAAACATGAAAGAAATTCTGAACTTGCCTGGAGAAATTAAAATAAGTGAAATAACACTGGTGAGGAAAATAAAATGTATCTTTTAAAGAATTCTTATGTTTTCAATCCTAACCATTTCTAGCCAACTTTTCTTTCAGTAGTGATAATATTAGCCCTTATTTTTATAAACAATATTACTATAGTTACCAAAACCCCTAATCCAAGACTCAAACTCTGTTGGACCAGATTCTATAGGATATATAACAAAGTCTATCTTCAGAATGAATACCTGATCAGTCTGATTCTACTCTATTTCTAATACTTTGAACCAGGCCCTGAGATGGTAGCAGTGGAAACAGCTCCATTAAATCTACCTCAGAAGTATTTTGGTCGCTAATTAATAAGAAATAGCTTTCGGTTTTTTTTAATATAATCTTGGTTCACTCTAGATGGGCAATAATTTTATAATGCTTTAGAGCTT